TGTTGTATTATATTAATGGTATTATTATTATTGATTATTATTATTATTGATAATTATTACTATTTAGTCAAATTCATTGATATGATGGTCCCTTCGCGACGCGTTCGTGCTTCGCGCATCGTATATAAGCGTAAAATCTTACGCTTATTGCCGGCAATATTAGTCGGCAGCAGTCGGAGTAGTCTCTTTGTTGTCGATTTCTGGCATATGAAGCCAGAATATTGGCCAGGAGCAACGAAAGATGAGTTCAATCTAACCAGAAGAAAAAAGAATATCTAAGATACAAAGTAGATTACAATTTAAGTTTTTAAAAGTACATGTATACTGAAAAAAAAATTTGTTTAACGAATTAATCACATTTAGTTGTTTGTAGATTTGATTATTTTATTTTATTTTATCGAATTTAACCGTAGTCTGCTTAACGAACTTCAATATTAAATAGAGTATGGTTAAATTCGATTAAATAAAATTTGTTGAATTAATCAAATTTTCAAACAACTACATGTATGTAGTTAGTTGAACAAATTTTTTTTCTCAGTGTATAAAGATAAACTAAATATTCGGGAGGGTAACTTGTTCGCAAATTGCGAGTTCTTATATTTTTTTTAAATATTGCTTATATTTAAAATACAAAAATAACAGGGCTAATGAGAGTTAGCGCGGATAATCAAGCATAAGATTTTTAAAATCTTTTTCTATAAAATTTGCGTTTGATTTGCGTTTGATTATCCATGAGTCTCATTAGCCCTGTTAATAATTATTTGTTAATTTTTTTTGTATTTTAAAGATGTATTGAAAGCTTGTTTTAATAATTACTGTTTATTACTTATTTATTATTATTATGATCGCGATTAGGGCATTCCGTTGAATTTATCAGCGATAGAAGATGATTAAGAATTAAAATTCTTCAACATGATTGATTTAAATCCATAAAGAACCAAACCAAATCATATTAAAGAATTTTACAACAATTGAAAAGCTACTTTCTCTGACGAATGCAATCATTAACGTATTACATATATTCGCGGTGTTATTGCATACTTATGAAGTAAATAATGTGTAGGTAGGAATACACGGGTGGAGATAAATATATTTGAATAGGCAACAAATAAATAAAAATACGAGTAGGTAGAACAATAAAATATGGATAAATATTGTATAGGTAGAGACAATAAGTATGGATAAGGTAGGGATAAATACCATTCCAAATTAAAAAATTAAATTATTACAAATTAAATGACACTTAAATAAATAAATTTCGCGATCGGGTAATTAAATTTTATTTTAAAAATAAAAAAATAAATATAATTAAATTAAAAAATATCACATAATAAATTTAAACAATAAACTGTATAATATGTAGGTAGAGATATATCTGTACATATTTGATAATTGGAAAGGAGGGATTAAAAATTAAATAAAATTTTATTAAATAAAATTAAATTAATTTTAAATTTCATTGTCTTTTCAGCTTCCCTAAAATTAAACTTTTTTGTAAAATTCTATACATGTACAAATTATGTAACGCGTTAATCGTAATTATTTTTATTGCAAATAAATATATGGATAATAATAGGTACATGATATAAAGTTTATGTAAACTATGTCCAGATAAATGTCATCATATTTACTTTTATAATTTGCACAATATTGCTAATAAATTATGTATTTATTGGAGTGTATATGTATATCAATATTGAATATCTATTCAATACAAACAACATTTATCTTGTCGTAATAAAAAATTTTTTTGTTATTTTATTGATGTAAATTATACGAAATCGATGAAACATATGATAACAAAAATTGTTTATTAATTTCACAAGTTTGACAAAGGTTTTATCTTGAAACTTTTTTTTAATTTGGATTTTAATTTGAATATCAAAAAGTCATTAATAATTTTGAGTGACTTCTAATTAAAAATTTGATGTTTAGAATAATCGTCAATTTTTCTTCGTACTTATAATGGTATATTTATTAAATAAATCATAAAGATTGGAGCTTTGATTGAAGCAATAGGTAAATATTAACTTGTTTGCTTTTTGACATTTACATTTTTAACATTACAGAATTATAACTTATAAATATCTTAGTCATTTATTATATACAAAGATCTCATTGCTATCTTTCGTCAGATGAATACTAGTGATTGCGTGGTTTGTATCGATAAAAAGTCGTAATTATTTTCATCATGGAGGGTTATGCCTCATTGCTTTCCGTAAAATCTATTCGCAAAGTCTAGTTTAGGTGTTCCGGAGATTCTTGTACAAGAATCGGAATCAATCCCGCGTCAATTCCTGGAAGTAATAATTTTATTAATGATTCAATAACAATTGCTATATATTTTAAAGTTTTCAGTTGCGAAATTAATTCAGTGGTATATTTTAGGGTATAATTTTCGCTTTCTTAATTTTATTAAATGTTCTCTATTAGTAATAATGTTAGTAATAGACTGACTCAATGATAGGAATTTAGTATCATTAATATAGATAGAATGATTATTTGTTTAAATCCAAATTATTGAGTAAATAAATTTAAATTTTATACAAGTAATTTGCTTAATTATTTTTTGATGATTGCTTTAACAAAAATGTGGTTACGAATATATATTTAATTGTCTAATTGTTATTTAAAAAATTGTTATTTAAAAAATTGTTTTTATTAGGTGTGACATACCGCAGAATATTATTAATTATTAATTTATGTGTGTGTGCGTACAATATATATATATACTTTTCTATGATAAAATATATATGCAGATATTATAAGATTTAACAAATTTTGATTTTTAATTTAGAAAATTTTTACCAAAATTTTTTTCTTTATATTTTTTTAATGTTGCCATGAATACACGAATTTAATTAAAATTATGTGGGTACAAAAAAAAATTCGAAATAAGTCAAATGAATATCCTCCATATTAGCAGGATATTAATAATTAAATTTTTGGAAAATACAAAATATAAGAAATTGTTAAATTTTATATAATAAATTTTTTTGTATAAAAATATATAGTTCTTTAAAATCCCGTTATTATCGGATTCGGCTCATCTCGAACAGTTGGTACCCGAGAAATTTTTGTACCCATACATATAAAAAATTACAATAATGCATGTATTTTATTATTATTAAATATATTCCTTCGTAATCACTATTGCATAAGGAAATTATTCTATCCGTTTATTTTTAATAAGAGATGATTTTTAGTCATGTGTGGCAGAACATATTTTCTCGCGAATTTTAACATTATATTAAAGATGTGATAAAAATGGTAATTGTAATTGACAACCAAAATTATTACTATCGCTAAATAGTCTGAAAGATTCGGGATTCACGTCGCAGTAAATCACTGGTATTTGACGGATTGCTTAACTTTTCTTTACAAATGAATCTTGTAAAATTTATATCGAAGAATCAGAATATATAATATATTAAGTTCGCTTTCCACTATATTCTTCTTTGTATCGAATACTAATCAGCATACCACTGGGATATGGATGAGGGATATGATGAAATTATTGAGATAGTTATCTTGAACGCGATGAAAGTGCTGTTATAAATATATTAATGACTTTTTATCGCGATATTAAATTTTATATTGGCAAATTAATAGTAAATATTGGGTTGTCCGGAAAGTTCCGACTAACCTATATAATTTAATAAATGTATGCTAAATGTATAAAATGTATACTAAATGTATAAAATTTAAATTTTCTGCGTTTCAATTTTCCTTTATTATATTTTCCTTCCGGCACGAACTTTCCGGACAATACTTAATTAATAGTAAATAATTAATAGTAAATACGATCTAATTATTGTTAGTATTTCTTCTACGTTTATCAATATTTTATTAAACATTGGTTTAGAAAATTTTTTTTGTTATCGTATGTATTTTCGACATTTTCGTATAATTCCGCACAAAAATTTGTTAATTATGCTCCTATGTTATCATTTTTATTATATTTTGAACAGCATTGATAATTGTATATTGTATTATAAATAATTATTATAATTGTAATATTGAATTATATAAAGGATAATACAATAAAGAATAACATTTAAAAAGTTATTGCAATTCATTAGCGAAATATAATAAAATAATTAGACATAAAAATAAAATAATAAATTCAAGATATACTTACCTGCAAAAAGCAGGCTACTAAATCTATTAGTAGAATATTTGTTTTATAGGTGAGTATACTTATGAAAAGAGGACTGCCGATAAAATTGGCGGGGGTAATGGAGGGCCTCGTTTTTATTGAATTATATTTAAATTGATAATATATGTTTAGAAAATTGAATTTATTAAAAAGATTGAATTATAATTGCTAGTAATTATACAAACTTATACTATAGTAATTATATTTGATAAATACTGGTTGAAAATTTGCATGAAGATACATAATTTTGTAATTTCATAAGATATTATAAAATAAATATTATATATGAAACAAAATTCACTAAATTAACTTTTGTTTGAATTTTCAATTTTGTTTATTAAAATTCAACAACTTTTATTTACATATGTTAGCAGATGTGAAATTAAAATTTTTTTGTTGAAGGATCATTAAACTATCCCTCCTATGAATACTGAATAATCGACACGCTTCTGTCCTGAGGATGTATTACAGAAATGAACCACGTCTATTTTCGACGATTTTATCGATAGTGTTAGAAAATATATGTTACGTAGTTCCCAAACTGAAAATGGATTTACTGGCGGTAGTGTACGGACGATTTCGATGATAACAGGAAAAAGGCTGGCATAGGTTTCTTTCTCGTACCAAGGAATCGATTTAATTTTCAAACAAGATAAAAATTACAAAAGCGAGCAAATTTACTAGGTATTGACCAACGAAATAATCAGTATTCTAGTAAATTCGCTCACTTTTATTATTTTCGCCTCATTTCAAGATACAGAATCGATCCCTAGTTCAGAAAGCAGCAATAAAAAACAGCCCTAATGTCAACTCTTTAAAATGCTTTCCATTTAGTGATAAATCGAAATTTATTTATACAAACATTATTTTATCTTTCTTAACATTTAGTAAGTAGAAATAGAATGATGTAAGAACTACTATACTATACTATATCTTCTTACATCATAGATAGAATGTCACTTGGTCGACTGCATGATTTCTTCGTCATGCAAGATATATTTATGTAGATATATGTAAATGGAAAGTATCCATGCACAACATTACAACATAACCTTATCAGTATGACAGCATTGACAGCCGCATGGTCCGTTATTTATTCGCATATGTTGCAAACAAAAATAGAGGATGGATCACGAGGATGAGTTCCTTAATGCCTTCTTCACACAAGTCGCTCAATTATGCTCCGATAAGGCTAAGGAAACAGTTGTAAGTGAATCCTGTTATATGTGTATTAATGTAAGTACATATAAATGCAGTTGTACATTCCTGTCTGAAAAAAATATAAATTTAATTCAGGAGAAAGAAAGGGAATCATGTAAGCAGATGCAAATGGGTCCATGGGGAATGCTCCTGTTGCATTTACCACAGATAGCTGTTGTAGAGCGTTCATATGCGGATTTAGGTTTTCTCAATACTAAAAATAAAGGTTTTCTTAGGAAGGATGTATGTATTTAACAACAAAGAAAGTGCTTGGTCAATGCTTATTTATTTAATTTACTATTATTTACAGAATTCTTTAAAGACTGTCTATGAATCACTGAAGTCTGATTTGAAAAGATTAGAGGAAATGACTAAGGGAACGAATTCCATTGGTACGACAGTCGCAAATGTTTCCAGTCAGCTCTGTCAGTTCATCACGGCAAGAATCCAGCTGATAGATTTGTTAGTATACTAGTATTTCAGCCTTCTGTTGTTTAATTTGTGTAATGTCATATTTGTGATTATTGCGTTACAGCTATGAAAGAATGTACAATATGAGTGTAAATAGCAAAGTTATGAAGCATCAAGAATTGCTGCAGTATATAGAAGGAATAGTAAAATGCTATTTGTTATCCTGTTCTCATTTGGCATTAACTGCTATCAAAACAAGTTTAACGTATGTATCCTTTTATAATATTAGTAATATGTAATTTTAGTAATGTGAATTATAAATTTTAATGTATGTGAAAAACTAATAATCCTCATTGTTCAGATTAGAATGTGAAATACTAGTACAATTAATGAAAGCACAAGTCGAAGTTCAAAATTGGAGATTTTTACCAACCCTGATGGCACTCTATGGAGCGCAAACGCGAATGTCAGCTTGGGAAAGAACTCTGCAGAGCAAGGAGGTTAGCAATGTATAATAAAAAAAGAGAGAGCATAAAAGTAATATTTTAATTCAAGACTTTTTTTAATCTAATTCTTATCAAATATTCTAACTCAGGATTATTTTTAGTCCTGGAAATTAGGTTTTGGTGCGACATTTCTTAAGGCAAATCAACAACCAGCGCTGTACCAATGGCTGATGAAACTCCGCAGTGCCATATTAGCCAAATGTTCTCTGTACTTCCACACTACTTTAAGCCAACAAGCTAGTCCAGGGGAAATGAGGAGTATTATGAGCAAACAGAGTATAGATTACTATCATAAGTAAGATACATATATACAACATATTGTTTTGTTATTCATATATAATATGTACTGATAGATACCATTTTAGGATACAGAGTTTTCAGCGAAAATACGATATACTAGCGGTATTGATAATCTTCGACTCCAGAGAAACTGAAAATTCAGGTTCTGGATACAGACATCCAGGAAGAGGAGCAAACTCTTTTGAGAGTTTTCCCGTTGTTGTTTGTTGTCCTAGTGTAAGTATAAATGAATTTTTTAAATAGGTTTTATTAATATAAGTATATATATATATATA